GTACTCGGGGTTTTTTTGCCCAAACCCGCATCTAGATTGGCCACGGACGCTTTTCCGCAAAAAGTGCTTTTGAGGAAAAGCGTCCTGCCAATCTAGACGCTCTTTTCCGAAAATGCTTTTAACGGAAAACTTTTCCGTTAAAAGCATTTCCGGAAAATCATGCCAATCTAGACGTAGCCTATGAGTCTATGACTAGTGAATAAACAGAAAAAGATTCTCTCCACTTGCAGGAGAGGTTACTGCTCTCAAAAGCTAGAGTAGCCCTTCAGCAAAGTCTAGCTTGAGCTTTTCGTGAGTCACTTCCATCCCTTCAGTGTGCTGACTTACGTTTTAAAAAGATGTCATGCTGAATAGTCTCTCTTGTTTTTAATTGAAATGATTTTACTATATTAGAATAGACTTAGGCCCTAATCTAGGTTGTCAATTTAAAATTCCATTTGAAATGTTAAAAAATGAACTTGTAGACTTGAATCTCACTAATCTGGGGTGTCTGATCTGGGAGTACCGTGGTTCAGATGCTCCCTGTCAGGTGCCCTGGCCCTTGCAGGCTGGTTGGTGGAGGGGTCTGCCTGGCAGCGGGAGGAGGAAGTGGCTCTGTGCACTGTCACCCTCTTCCCCTCAGGCTGGGGGAATGACCGCACAGCAAAGCACCTGCCTGGAGGCTTTTCCCCCGCCACTCTCATTGGCTTTGAATCGTGGCCAGTGGGAGCAGTGGAGGAAATGCAGAGACACTGGTGCCCCTGGGAGTAGGGCATCAGGTAAGCGCCAGATCCTGCACCCTTCTTCCCTTCCAGACTCCCTTACCAGCATACTCCTGTACCCTCCCTTCAAGACCCTGCACCCTTCTTCCCTTCCAGACTCCCTCACCAGCATGCTCCTGTACCCTCCCTTGCAGACCCTGCACCCTTCTTCCCTTCCAGACTCCCTCACCAGCATGCTCCTGTACCCTCCCTTCCAGACCCTGCACCCTTCTTCCCTTCCAGACTCCCTCACCAGCATGCTCCTGTGCCCTCCCTTGCAGACCCTGCACCCTTCTTCCCTTCCAGACTCCCTCACCAGCATGCTCCTGTACCCTCCCTTGCAGACCCTGCACCCTTCTTCCCTTCCAGACTCCCTCACCAGCATGCTCCTGTACCCTCCCTTCCAGACCCTGCACCCTTCTTCCCTTCCAGACTCCCTCACCAGCATGCTCCTGTACCCTCCCTTCCAGACCCTGCACCCTTCTTCCCTTCCAGACTCCCTCACCAGCATGCTCCTGTACCCTCCCTTCCAGACCCTGCACCCTTCTTCCCTTCCAGACTCCCTCACCAGCATGCTCCTGTACCCTCCCTTCCAGACCCTGCACCCTTCTTCCCTTCCAGACTCCCTCACCAGCATGCTCCTGTACCCTCCCTTCCAGACCCTGCACCCTTCTTCCCTTCCAGACTCCCTCACCAGCATGCTCCTGTACCCTCCCTTCCAGACCCTGCACCCTTCTTCCCTTCCAGACTCCCTCACCAGCATGCTCCTGTACCCTCCCTTCCAGACCCTGCACCCTTCTTCCCTTCCAGACTCCCTCACCAGCATGCTCCTGTACCCTCCCTTCCAGACCCTGCACCCTTCTTCCCTTCCAGACTCCCTCACCAGCATGCTCCTGTACCCTCCCTTCCAGACCCTGCACCCTTCTTCCCTTCCAGACTCCCTCACCAGCATGCTCCTGTACCCTCCCTTCCAGACCCTGCACCCTTCTTCCCTTCCAGACTCCCTCACCAGCATGCTCCTGTACCCTCCCTTCCAGACCCTGCACCCTTCTTCCCTTCCAGACTCCCTCACCAGCATGCTCCTGTACCCTCCCTTCCAGACCCTGCACCCTTCTTCCCTTCCAGACTCCCTCACCAGCATGCTCCTGTACCCTCCCTTCCAGACCCTGCACCCTTCTTCCCTTCCAGACTCCCTCACCAGCATGCTCCTGTGCCCTCCGCGCCAGATCCTGCACCCTTCTTCCCTTCCAGACTCCCTCACCAGCATGCTCCTGTACCCTCCCTTGCAGACCCTGCACCCTTCTTCCCTTCCAGACTCCCTCACCAGCATGCTCCTGTACCCTCCCTTCCAGACCCTGCACCCCATCCCCAATAACAGTTCAAATACAGTGCATTAAATCTTTCTACGACATGGTACACTTGTCCAGTACTCTAGAATGGTTGTACATACACGACCTTTAGTAATAGACTGTTTAGCCTTCATTATGGGGACTAACCATGGTCTGGAATATTTCTTAATCGGGCATAGCCTAATTCCCAAGGTCACCGAATTACAGAAGTTCAAGTGTATTTAATTTAAATATAAAAATACCATATAAATAAAATCGGAATTATTTTTATTTAAAAAAGCAATTGCTTTTTCTCTGGGCTGTAAGCACCATTCTGGAGAAAACGGATTGTAAGGACCTATATTGCCCAGGGACTAGGGGGCACATTTCTGTTCTTCGAGTAGATGTCCCTGTGGCTGCTGCACTGCAGGATGCGTGCATACCCATGTGCTCTTGGACTGGAGACTGTACGGCAGTGTCTGAAGGCTCATGCCTGCGCAGAGCAGCTCTCGTGCGCCCACAGGAGGGCTTAGGTGTGGGCCTGCTGCAACTCCGGATGAAACATTTGAGTTTTCCACCTCTCACTGACTGTGAAACGTTGTTAGTTAATTGTTAGTTTTGCCTTTTTATTTTATTTAACTCTCAGCACGGTGCTGTAGCCAGGCCGTGGTGAATTGTTCTGAAGTAAATAAGTTGAAATTCAATCAGGCAAAATGCAAAGTAACCTTTTATTTTATAATGAAGATTGCCTATCTCCTAGATCTGGAAGGAAAGTCATCAAGTCCAGTCTGCTGCCTTCACAGCAGGACCAAGTATCATCCCTGATGAATTTTTGCCCCAAATCCTTAAATGGCCTCTGAAAGGACTGAACTCACAACCCTAGGGTTAATAGGTCAATGCCCAAACGACTGAGCTATCCCTCGCCCCTAGAAGGAATCATCAGTTACATGCATACAAAGTGGGAAATGGTTCTGGGATAGACCACCAGGTAACTATGAGTTAGTGTGACACTGCTGCAAAGAAAGCCAACATGATTCTGGGATGCATTAACAGGAATGTTGTGAGCAACACACGAGACATCATTCTTCCACTCTGTGCTGATTAGGCCACAGTTGGAGTATTATGTCCAGGTCCGGGCACCATTTCAGGAAAAATGTGGAGAGATCCAGAGAAGAGCAAGAAGAATGATTAAAGGTCTAGACACCATGAGCTATGAGAGAAGGCTGAAGCAATTGGGCTTGTTTAGTTTAGAAAAGAGAAGACTGAGAGGAGACATGCTAGCAGTTTTCAGGTATCTAAAAGGGTGTCACGGGGAAAATGTGTTCCTTGGCCTTTGAGGACAGGACAAGAAGCAATGGGCTTAAACTGCAGCCGGGGAGGTTTAGGTTGGACATTAGGAAGTTTTTCCTAACTCAGGGTGGTTAAACACTGAAATAAGTTGCCTAGGGAGGTTGTGGTATCTCCATCCCTGGAGATATTGAAAAGCAGGTTGGACAGACACCTGTCAGGGATGCTCTAGAAGGTGCTTGGTCCTGCTGTGAGGGCAGGGGACTAGACTCGATAACCTCTCGAGGGCCCTGCCAGTCCTAGTGTTCTGTGATTCTATTTGTACTTTTTGCAGAGAAGATGAGGGGATAGTCCATTTCCATTTGGAGACAGACAAAGTAGATCTTGGTTTGCATCTTAATGTGCTGTGACACGGCTGGAATATAATCTTCTCAGTGACAGGACAATCCACTACATCAGAACGGCCAGGCAGGGTCAGACCAAAGGCCCATCCAGCCCAGTGTCCTGTCTGCCCTGAGCAGTGCCAGGTGCCCCAGAGGGAAGGAACAGAACAGGGAACCATCAAGTGATCCCTCCCCGTCGCCTCTTTCCAGCTTGTGACAAGCAGAGGCCAGAGACACCAACCCTGCCCATTCTGGCTAACAGCCATCGGTGGGCCTGTCACTAGATCTCAGTCCACATCTGGAGCCCCCTTGAAAGATATTTTCATAGCTGAACTCTGCAGGACGACAACTTGGTCCTCTATCCATACCTTTGGCAAGCATTACACTAGCTTCCTGTAGCAGACAAGTTTAATGCGGCAGTCCTCCAAACTGCCTTGGCTCTACTGCCTCAGCATCCTCCTCTGGGTTAGTTACTGTTTGGGTATCTATCCTGGAGGAGCATCACAGAGCCGTGTACTCAAAGGAGGAGAGGTCACTTGCCATACAGTAACCTGAGTTCTTTGAGGGGTTTAGACCCTGTGGATGTTCCACCTCCTTCTCTCCTCCCTCTGCTGCACAATCTCTGGCTTTGCAGTGGAGAAGGAATTGAGTGGTGCAGGCCTTCCTGGATGCCCTGTGCAGACTTGGGCCCACAGACACTGCTGTACGGTCTGCAGTGAAAAGCCCACAGGCCTGCCCTCATCCTAAGGCACACCCACATGGGCAAAATTGCAAGAAGAAATTAGGCTACTGTACAAGTAAGTAGTCTCTCCTTTTCTTTCCCTTGGGCTCAAGTGACAATCAAGGACGATAAAGCCATTGCGGATAAACTAAATGATTTCTTTGCTTCAGTCTTCACGGCTGAGGACATTAGGGAGATTCCCAAATCTGCACCGTCCTTTGTGGGTGATGAATCTGAGGAACTGTCCCGGATTGAAGTGTCATTAGAGGAGGTTTTGGAACAAATAGAAAAACTTAATGTTAACAAATCTCCGGGACCGGATGGCATTCATCCAAGGGTTCTAAAAGAACTCAAATGGGAAATTGCTGAGCTATTATCTGTGGTTTGTAACCTATCCTTTAAATCGGCTTCCGTACCTAATGACTGGAAGGTAGCCAACGTGACACCAATATTTAAAAAGGGCTCTAGAGGCGATCCTGGCAATTACAGACCGGTAAGTCTAACTTCAGTACCGGGCAAATTAGTCGAAACAATAGTAAAGAATAAAATTGTGAAGCATGTAGAAGAACATAATTTGTTGGACAAAAGTCAACATGGTTTCTGTAAAGGGAAATCCTGTCTTACTAATCTATTAGAGTTCTTTGAAGGGGTTAACAAACATGCGGACAAGGGGGATCCAGTAGATATAGTATACTTGGATTTTCAGAAAGCCTTTGACAAGGTCCCTCACCAAAGGCTCTTGTGTAAATTACATGGCCATGGGATAAGAGGGAAGGTCCTTTCTTGGATTGAGAACTGGCTAAAAGACAGGAAACAAAGGGTAGGAATAAATGGTAAATTTTCAGAATAGAGAGGGGTTGTCCCCCAAGGGTCAGTCCTGGGACCAATCCTTTTCAACTTATTCATAAATGATCTGGAGAAAGGGGTAAGCAGTGAGGTAGTAAAGTTTGCAGATGATACCAAACTGTTTAGGATAGTCAAGACAGAAGCAGACTGTGAGGGACTCCAAGAAGATCTCACCAAACTGAGTGATTGGGCAACAAAATGGCAAATGAAATTTAATGTGGATAAGTGTAAAGTAATGCACATCGGGAAAAATAACCCCAACTATACGTACAGTATGATGGGGGCTAATTTGGCTACGACAAATCAGGAAAGAGATCTTGGAGTTATCGTGGACAGTTCTCTGAAAACTTCCACACAGAGTGCAGCGGCGGTCAAAAAGGCAAATAGGATGCTAGGAATTATTAGGAAAGGTACTGTATACAGAAGTGGTCTCTTCGCCTCAAAAAAGATATTTTGGCCTTGGAAAGCGTTCAGAGAAGGGCAACTAAAATGATTAGGGGTTTGGAACGGGTCCCATATGAAAAGAGGTTAAAACGACTGGGACTTTTCAGTTTAGAAAAGAGGAAACTGAGGGGGGATATGATAGAGGTCTATAAAATCACGAGTGGTGTGGAGAGGGCGAATAAAGAAAAGTTATTTATTAGTTCCTATAATAGAAGAATGAGAGGACACCAAATGAAGTTAATGGGTAGCAGGTTTAAAACTAATAAAAGAAAGTTAGTCTTCACACAGCGCATAGTCAACCTGTCGAACTCCTTGCCAGAGGATGCTGTGAAGGCTAGGACTATAACAGAGTTTAAAGAGAAGCTAGATAATTTCATGGAGGTTAGGTCCATAGAAGGCTATTAGCCAAGGGATAGAAGTGGTGTCCCTGGCCTCTGTTCGTCAGAGGCTGGAGAAGAATGGCAGGAGACGAATCGCTTGATCATTGTCTTCGGGCCACCCGCTCTGGGGCATCTGGTTCTGGCCACTGTCGGTAGACAGGATACTGGGCTAGATGGATCTTTGGTCTGACCCAGCATGGCCGTTCCTATGTTGCATTTGGGGTGGATCAGGGATCATTCCAGGAATTGTCACTCAAGCCCCTACTCTTCTTGTGTCTCCCCCAGTTCCTTCAGGACACCCTGGATGCCTTGTTCTCAATTATGATGGAAAATTCAGCCACTGACGTCTACGATACACTCATCTTTGATGCACTAGTAAGTAGCTCTTGTTTCTTCTGGCTGACCCCTGAGCATGGGTGGTGCCAGTCTTGATCCTGCATCCTTCTGTGCTCCCACCAATTGAGCTATCAACTGCCAAAATCATTCAGTTGTTTACCTGCTCATTAGCTCGTTCTCTCCTCTCTACATCAATGAGAGGCAGACCACTTCGTGCTCTTCTTCAGCAGCCAGTTCTGATCCAGCAGAGCAACTACTGATGCTATCCAAAAGGAATTCCTCAAAAAGCAAGAGAGATCAGTCTGGGAGAAGAGATGCTTGAGATTTCTAGTACAGGATTTGCCATACCTGATCAGATCATGTAACAACCTGGAGCCAACTAGCCATGGCCTGGGATCCTTGTAGAGCTCTGTCAAGGCTTTTCCCCCCACTCTGGCACAATAATGCAGAAGTGGGGGCCCCCAAAAGTACCCCAAAACCTTCTTTTTCCAGACATTGGTATAAAACTGCCCCCCCAAATCTTAAAAACCTAGATTTTGATGATAAAAATCTGCTGCCACCCCTCAAATAATGATAAGGAAACCACGGGGAAAAAAAATCACTTGGGAAATCTTAGCCCTCAAGTAAAACCAGGACACACAAAAAATTAACCAATACCAGGTTAATAAAAAGGAAAGAGAAAGAACTTTTATTATCAGCACAATACTCCTGTTACAAGCATAATGGCTAGATGGAAGTGTCACCAATTGATATACTCACAGGGGATTCCACCATGGGCCAAAACATAGTTACAAAGGAGAGGAAAACCCATTTTTAAATGCACAGACATCAGACTCCCATTCCCAAACCATAAAACCCAACGGATTTATCTAAACTTTACCCTACTTACAGATGGTGAAGAGTTTTCTTGGAGAGAGTCATGTTGTCTGTCCCCCTCAGTCACTGGAGAGAAACAGGGACAAAGGAAGGAAAACCCCCAAAATTCTTGTGTCCCAGTTTGACATTCCTACCTACATTTCTGTTGGCTGCTGGCTACCTGGTTAGGTAAGGGACATAGTTCACCCCTTAGTCCCCAGGCTGCTGGCTAACCCTCATTGTCACGACAAGCTCACAGGAGCAGCAAGGTTGAGCTTGCCTGTGGAGTACGTATGCCACTGCCCCAGAGCGTTACTAGGATGGAGCCTTGCACAGTGGTGAGATTCAGTAGGGAGCATTTCCCCCATGCCTTAGTGCAGTGCTAGGGGCACCTGTGCTTGAGCCAGTAGGCCAAGTGACTCAGCTGAGGGTGCCTATTCCCAAGTCACTACTGACTCCAGTAGCACTGCAGCAAGGGGCTCAGCAGTAGGCGTCCCAGGGCAGTGGCTGTCAGGGTCCCATCTGAGGTGGCTAGTGAGCAGTGTAAGTTACAGACAGGAAGCATAGGGCTGGAGCGACCTCAAGAGGTCACCTCGTCCAGGGGCACTCAGCCTTCCAGACTTCTCAGTCCCTCCCAGGGGTCTGAGTGTTTTGTGAACCACACATTTCCTCTCACTTAAAAGCTACTTGTTTACATAATCAGCCATAACAATCCTGAAGTGCCACAGCCTCCCTACTCACTATAGAGTTATCAATAAGCCAACTGGAATAGAAATACTACCCTTACGTGTCAGCAACTAGTACCTAGAGCCGTCTAAACAAGCCTGTGAGACATTTGCATTTGCACTGACTTCGTACGGTGTCTGTTGTAAAATAAGGCAAATAGCTAGAGGCGTTGATGTACCCTCAGAAGACCTGCATGTACTCCCAGAGGTGCATGTACCCCGCTTGCAAAGCACTAATCTAGCCCCTCCCCACCCATGCTGAAACGGAACTAAATATACATAGACCATGCATGACAGATGTTTGTCTAACCTGCTCCTAAAAGCCTCCAACAACAGGGATTAGACGATCTCCATAATAATCTGTTCCGTTCCTTATGTATTGTGCGCAGGAGTGGCCCGTGAGCCTAGGCAGACTAGGCGGTCACCTAGGGCACCGCTGGCCCAGGGAACCCAATGATTACATCACAGCCATTGACAGCCATGCAGGCGGGGGCACCGATCGCACCTTCCGCCTGGGGCACCAGCTGCAGTCGGTGCAACCTTCTGGCCATGCCCCATGGGTCTTGTGCTACGGGCGGATATTAGCCTCAGACTGGCCGTGGTGCTAAACAACTCCTTTCTTTTTACAGGAGACAGGGTCCACAGCTAGCCATACTCACCCCAGGGTAGTCCAGGACTATTGGGGGGGTCACCCTTAAACCATGGTCTCCCTTCTTGGGACAGGCTCTGTGCTGGCAGGCAGAATCAGGAAGAGAGGTTTGGGAGGAACCCAGGCCTGCCCACTACTCTGCGTTCCAGCCCACAGCCCCTAAAGTAGCAGCAGCAGCAGCCATCAAGGTTGTTTTTCCTTCTGACTGGGGAGCTTTTTCCCTGGGTCACTTCCCCAAACATCTCCATCTGTCCCTGATAACCAGCTCTCACACAGCTCCGGCTCGGCTCGGCCCTGCCTCCTCCTGGTCCATCTCTCTTTGTCTCCCCCTCCCCTTCCTGTCCCTAGGGGAGGCCTTTTAAAGCATCCCCACTGGCCGTAATTGGCTCAGATGTGGGGTGACTTGCCTGAGGGAGAAATCAAGTTAATTAGTCCCAGGTGTTCTCCTGCCTTCATTTTATTGCAGCAGGCTCCAGTAGTTGACTCTGGAAAGAGAAAGCCCTTTATCCAGTGCCCTGCATACCTGCTGGCCATGTGGTTTCTACAGCCCCCTGCTCTTGGGGAGCTGCACTTTCTCCTGCACCCCTCCTCTCTTCTTCCTTTTTGGGAGGAGGTGCCTGTGGAGGGGGGCTGCTGCTTTTGTGGCAGGCCAGTCCTGGCTACTCTACAGTCTGAGCCAGGCCCCTTTTTTCCACCTGCCTTTTTGCAGGCAGCTTTGCCCATCTTCTTCTGCTGCCCTGCCTCTGGGGAGGGGGGAGGACCCCCCATCTTCTTAGGGGTCTATTTTGGCCCCTTTTCTTCACCTCGGCAGGCCTGTACTCCATCATTCCTGTTGCTCCTGCTTTCCCTGAGGCAGAGGAGGTAAGGGGGCTGCTTTAGGGCAGCCCTTTGGGCTCTCTCTCCCCACAGCCTGCCCTGTGTTGGGGGGGTAAACTAAGGGGCCTTTGCATCAGGACCCTTGGGTGGGGGTCTTGTGGGGTGCTGGGGGCAGGGGGTGGTTCCCCTGCCCCTGCATTCTGCTGCTGCTCCTTCCCAACCCCAGTTGCTGTAGGGGCCTTTTTCCATTCTCTGCCCCACTGCTTGCTTCCCCGCCCCTCCTCTGCTCTGTTGGGCCCTGCAGCTGGTGTTGTGGGCCTGCTGTTCAGGCTCCTGTGGGCACACAGGTTCCCTTCCCCCAGCCGTGTCTAGTCATCTCCCCCCAGCAGGCATCTTCTCATGACCTGCCTTCCCTTTCCACTGCTTGTCCCACCCATCCTCTTGTGTGCCCATGCCCCCGTTCTTGTGTTTGGCGCCTGAGCTTCCCCCTCTTTTTTCAGTTACTCTTCCCACACACACAGCTTCGCTTGTCCCCATGGTCCTTAAAAAATAACTTACCCACGTTTCCCCCAGTGCAGCCGGAGGAGCCGCTCTCTCCATCCTGTGCTGGAGCTGCACTCCTTACTCCTTTTCCCTTTCCCCTTTCTGAATTGTCACCCTCAGCCTAGTGGGGGGAGCAGTGAACCTCCTTCCTCCCCTCCCCTCCCCTCCCCTCCCTTTCCTTCCTTGTTCCCTCCCCTGGTGCTTTTGTCCTCCCCTAACTGTTTGTTTTATCTTCCCTCCCCACCCATGACCCCAATGAAGGGGTTGTACAGTGACACCCCTGCCAACCCTCCCGAAAAATGACAACTCCTCTGAGGCTGCCGGGCCCTGTGTCGCTATGGTGGAGGGGGCAGACATGGACAAGGACCCTGGGGTCTCAACCGCTCCTGCCGCGGCACCTCCAGTCATCATTAAGGCCCCCCTGAAGTGTAGGAAGGGCCGGGGGACCAAAAGGGGCAAGAGCCCCACCTGGAAGGTAAAACCTCCTGTGGCGAGGGCTCACTCCCCGGCTGTGTCTGCTGCGGCTCCCCCTCCTTCCCGTTCCCCTGTTCCTTCCACCAGCTCTGGGGATGATGGTGTAGCCACCTGCCGCCTCCCAAGCTGCCTCCCAGAATTCCATCCCCAGGGGCTGCAGCCCCTTTCCCACCCCGACCAGGAGGAACAGGGTCTGTTGTCTCCTGGTGGCGGCCTCGCCCCACGTGGAGACCTATGTGCGGGCGTTGGCACGCGTCGTGGGGCCTGCAGCTGTGGTGGTGGCCTCTAGGATGTTCGGGAAGGTGGTATTCTTCCTGGCATCCAAGGCCGCTGCCCAGGAAACGGTGGAGAGGGGAATCCACGTTCCCCTCAAGTCTTTGGAGGACCTGGGCATACGGGTGGTTTTTTCCTCCCCAATGCCGCCCTACTGCCTTTCCTTTGTGCCCTGGGGAGGCCTCCGTCAGTCCTAAGTCACCTTCCCTTGGGCTGCAAAGACCTTACCCTCCACCACGTCCCGTCCTTCTGCTGGCAGGTACAAATCCAACTACTGCCGGCGGGACGTGGTGGAGAAGCCTTAGAAGGGTCATTTCTGGTGTCCCATCAAGGGGCCCAGTACCGGGTGTACCACACCATGGGGGAGGCCCCGAGTTTTCTCTGTCGGGTGACAGGGCATGTCCGAAGGGACTGCCCCGTGGCCCGCCTCGGAGAGGAGCCTGGGAGTGCACCGGCCCCACCATTGCCAGTGGCCCTGATCGTCCAGACCCTGGGGTTGCCCCTCCTCCAGCCATGACTGTTGTCAGTCCGGCTCGGGCTCCGCAGGGCCCAGACAAATGTGCGGGTGCTGCTGCCATTGCCAAAAGCGACAAGGCCAGGCTCGCAAAGGAGAGGGCGGCGGGGTCAGTGACAGGACTCGGGCAGGACCTACCTCAGGGGGAGGTCTCCCTTCCCTTGCTGCCCAACCCCCATCTTCCCGCTGC